CCATCCGAGCGAGCAGAGCAGGGCAGCCCCAAATCCAGGGTGCTGGAGACGTCCATGCAGAGAAGAGAGGGCCAAGGGCAAGTAGAGAAGCCAGTCCATGGGTCAGGGTCCAGATGAGCAGGGTCCATGGCTGGGCACAGGCATGAGCACAGCTGGGAGCAAGCTGCAGAGCAGTCCTGCTCCATCAGAGCTGGGGAAGGGGCTGAGAAACCTGAGCTGAGCTTAAATAGAGCCTGGGGCCATGGGCAAGGGGTGGGTGGGGGTCCCAGGTGGGGCTGGTCAGGGCCATTAATGCCCCTCGGTGCCCTGGCAGCAGCCTGCCCTCCTGGCAGGGTGCGTCCTCATGCCTGCCGGATCTGGGCTCGGAGAGGACGTGCTGTCGGGTGATTTAATTCAGGGGAGGGAGTGCGCTCAGACAGAAGACAGCTGACAAAAAGGATTTAATAAGAATACGGGATAGACTGCTGGAGCGAGTGAGACCAAAGATCAAGTGCAGGGCTCAGACAAGATCTGGCCCTTGCTTACACATCACTAGCCTCTTTTATACCGTTTTTTTTTCTCCCTCTTTACCCCACATTTGCTCCTCCCCAGTCCATGACGATCCCTCCCTTTCCCCACCTTTGGTCCTTCCCCTAAACTTCCCCTACTCAGGTTTGCACTTTCCCACAGACCCCTCAAAACAGCCCAGAATAAGTTTTGCACAAATTTTCTGCGTGTTGTCTTCCATAGCGAGCCCAGGGTCCCTCACCAAGGTAGTGTGGCCGAGCGGTCTAAGGCGCTGGATTAAGGCTCCAGTCTCTTCGGAGGCGTGGGTTCGAATCCCACCGCTGCCAAGTCCCTTTTAGGCACTCGAGAGGCAGCTGCAGGGATTCGTTCGCATCTCTCTGTGCGGTGCTAGTTGAGACCACATCTGGAGTACAGTGCAGAGACCACATCTGGAGCGCTGTGACCAACGCTGGGCTCCCCAGACTAGACTGGAGCAGCGAATCCAGTGATGGAGTAGAGAAAGGGTTAGGGCCAGACTCTTCTCAGTGGCAACCAGCAAAAGGATACCTGACTTCCAAGGGGCAGAAAGAGGACTACAGGGAATTTCTCTTGAACATGAGAAAGAAAAAAATTTTACTGTGAGTGTGGTCAGACACTGGAAAGGGTTGTCCAGCAGGTGTCCGGAGCCTCCATCTTTGGAGGTATTCAAAACCCAAGCTGGACACGACCCTGAGCCATGTGCTTCAGAAAACCCTGCTTGGAGAACCCAGCTGGACGTGACCTGAACCACCTGGAGCCTCCATCTTTGGAGGTATTCAAAACCCAAGCTGGACACGACCCTGAGCCATGTGCTTCAGAAAACCCTGCTTGGAGCAGGGAAGTTCAACCAGAAGTTGCTGAAGCCCCCTTCAGGGCTGGACTGGGAGCTGGTGGGTGGCACAAGGAGGGTCACCCAAGCCCCATCCCACCAGGCAGAAGGGCTGGGGCAGAGCGCGGCACCATGGGCAGGTGGGCGATGCCCAACACAGATGGGACCATCCAAGCCGGGACCATCACTGTCCTTGACAGGACCTCAGGGCTGAGTCGGGATGGGGCAGATGGTCAGGGGAGCTCTGTTCTGCCACCTTTTAATGATGGAAGGGCTGAAATAAGGGCGCAGTGTCTCCGAGAAGCTGCTGGTGAAAGTGAAGAGGTGGGACCTGTCAGTGAGGTTGTAAAAGGAGACCACGCCGGCCTCATAGTCGAGCAAAATTCCCACCCGCTCGGGCGCTGTGGTCACAGGGAGAGTGGCTGGGGGGGAAGTTGACACCTTGTAGATGCCCCCCCTCAAGTACACGGCCCAGTACCCGTTCTCTTGGGAGAGTTTGACGTTCACCTTCCTCTTCACTGACTCCCTGCACACCCCGAGGTCCCAATCCAAATGGTCTTCCACGTGCACCTCCCAGTAGTGCCTCCCGCCCGTGAATTGCTCACGGCCCAGGACGCAGACACAAACGCTGAATCGCTCGGGGTTGTCGGGCAGCTCTTGTCGTCTGTCTCCATGCCTGACGCTTTTCCTGTCCCCGGACAGGATGAGGTTGGGGTGAGCCGTGGCTGGATCCAGCGTCACGTCCACTGGGGAGAGCGAGAGACACGGACGGGGTGAGCGTCCCGGGCCGAGCTCGGTGGCGGGAAGCCGGGGGCGACTGAGGCGGCTGCCCGGCTGGCAGCGGGGCTGGGAAGGGGGCTGGGGCCGGGCGAAGGCGGGAGG